CAGTGAAGGGAACAGTACGGTGGGACAGCAAGAGGGGGTCGACAGAGACTCGAGGCCTCTGGAGTTTGGGGTTACTCATGGGTTTTTTCTCTTGGACCCCTGAGAACCTGATGCACATCCTGGCATTTCCACCAACTACAGCCAGGGAGGGTTTCCTAGAAGAGAATCCAGAGGCTCCAAGAGACTCCAAGCATGGCTGGTCCATCCCTCTGTCTACCTAGCTCTCTGTCTCTGCCCAAGTACCAATCCAAAGCTGCCTAACCAAACTCTAAATTTGACGGTAAGGAGCCCTGTATCAGACTGACAAAAAAAAAAAAAAAAAAAAAAAAACCAAGAGGGAAAGAAGAGGGAGCCAGAGAATGTGGAACCCAAATGAGACGCGAGATAAAGCAATTACCTGATCAATACCGGTGAAATTGAGTAATCCAGCCGATCAATACCACGGGCAGGCACTCAGGCTCTCAGCCCGCTGCCATCTTCTCGCCTCCCTCTTAGAAATGCATCTGGAAGTTCGCCTCCCACCCTGGCCTTTGCCCTTTGGGTTCTGAAGTATCACCCCTGCCTCCAACCTGAGTCAGCTGCCACCCTGTCCATACACCTGCACCGTGGCTCCTCAGTAACGGTCCTCGTTCCTTCCAGGGGTTCCCATTCTCAACAGCCTTCTGGGTTATGCTCCTCCATGTCTCTCACGTTGGTACACCAGGGGCTGGAGCCCAGGTTGCCTGTGGGGGGGATGACAGCTAGTTCTGCCACACCCCTATTTCACTCTGCCCTCCATGCAAAGCCCTGCCCACATGCTACTGCCAGCTGAACTGGACTCAGGGCAGGCAGGGAGCTGGGAGGAGGCCTTGGGCTCCACTCATCCATAGGTGCTTGTAGGCGCTTCAGTGCAGGTGCCATCACTGAAGGTCACTCACCCATTTGTGGGCTTCCAGTGTGTAGGCAGGGACTTGAGGGCTGTGGTTTCTGAGTTGCGATGAGGGCATGGGAACTTCCCCCGACTGTGGGAATAGCAGAGCTCTACCTTTCTAAGCTCTGAAAAGCCTCTGGCAACCTGGAGTCCCAGAGGGTACCTGTGTGCAATGTGTGTGTGTGTGTGTGTGTGTGTGTGTGTGTGTGTGTGTGTGCATGTGTGTGCATGTGTAAAGGTGCAAAGAAATGCTGTGGAGCTGTGGAACTAGGCAGGCCTGGGATAGGAGCCAGAGCCCTGTCCCTCCACATTTACCTTCCTGCCTCTACTGCTAAACAGGAAGTACCTGGGCTGATTGAATAAGTGAATGACCACTGTTACCTAGTATTTCAGAGTAGTCTGTTGGCTGTCTGACAAGCTATCCCCCATCAGACTGTGAGCCCTTAGAAAGCCAGCATCAACATACCCAGGGCCAGCAGGCACCAGCCAAAGTTGGCTTGGTGGCTAGCTGACACTCTCTGGTCCCAGGGAAGTGCAAACAAAATTCCCATAGGAAAACCTGAGGTCTATTTAAAGAGTGTAATCGCCCACCCCTTCCCAGCCATGACTTGTTAGCAGAGCAACTCGATGCCTGGACTGGGAGCTCACTGTTGACCTTGGGCAGTTCCCTTAACCTCCCTACCCTTTGTTTTCTTCATTGGCACAGTGGGGATAACAATAGCTCCCTTCTGCAGCCAAAGATTCCAGATTAGCCTCTGCTCTGAGCCGTGTTCTCCCCCTCAGGAGAGAGGCCAGTGAGTTCCAGCTGCACTGGCCTTCAGCTCTTAGGACTCAGGCTGTGAGGTTTGGACATGCACTGGTCCAGTCATCGTGACTGGAGGTGGAGCAGGCTGAGCGAGCTGACAGAACTGAGATGGGGATTGCTAGCTGCTTGCTGCTGTTTGTACCAGACCTTCACCTCGGTAGTTTGGGTGGCATCCCCTGGGTTTCTGGTGTGCACCTTGTTGACTGCTGACCTTATCCCCAGACACGAGCTAGGATAAGAGAGCTAGGGGCGGGGCTTTTGCCTCCTTTCAACTTGGGACCATCAATGTCCCCTGGGCTAGGCACAGGTGGGTAGGTGGAAGGTGTAAAATTGCCTGTTCTTCTACATTCTGGGAATGCTTTGCTATGTGCTTTCTTCTCTTCCTACAAAGTCTCCCAGCCTATGTGACCGGAGGGAAAGGTCCACAGGTGTTGGCCATTCTGCTGGCAGCATTCTTGCTAAGGTCTCAACTTGAGCCTGGAACACCTGGCTGGCCTGATGTCTGAAGAAAACAAGGCTGGCTTGCCCAGAGCACTCTGATTGTCTCATTGTTGGCTGAAGGGAGGGAGGAAGTGTCTGCAGTGGGCAAAGTGTGATAGCATGAGTTCTGGAGCCAAGAAGCCTTGGCTTGGGTTCCTGCCTTCACCAGCTCTAGGCGTCACTGTGAGTGTGCTATTCACTTTATGTGAGTGTGCGCATGCACGTGCTTCGCAGTATGTGTGCACATTTCTGTCTGTAGAAAAGCTGGTATTATCTACCTCCTCTTGATAGTGTTAAGCCTAAAGCACAAAGCTCTGCAGAGGAAGGAACTGTGAGGCCGGGACTGCTCCATTTGAATGTTGAATGTTTGTGTATCGCTTACCATCATAACACCACTACGGACACAGGGAATGGAGGCCCACCGAGCTTGGTATCTGAGCTGTTAGGATGGCAGGGACAGGAGAGTTCTTGCTCCTAGGAGGGAAGGGAGGCCAGAATGGAGGGTTGGAGACCTAGGGTGGGGGTCTCCTGCACCTGCCACTTTTCTCTGCAGGACAAAAGGCAGAAGATGGGCCAGGCACATGGGTGTGAACCAGCAACCATAGAGGAAGACAAAGCAGTGGCCAGTGCAGAACTGCAGGTGCTGAGGCAGTGGGCACACTCAGTTCACACTTTTCTTGCTCATAACAGGAATCGCTGGCCGGATGGTCTAGTCAACTGGTTCAGTGAGGAGACCACATCTCAAAATATAATTTGCAGAGTGACAAAAAATAAATCTGAGACTGACCTCTGGCTTACACACACACACACACACACACACACACACACACACACACACACACACAGGATAAAGAGAGGAGGAGGGTGAGGGGGCCATCAATCCAGACACCTTGTCCCATGCAAGGTGGGAACAGGTACAGGTGCAGGAGGAGTCTGAAAACAGGCAGAGGAGCAAATGAAGGACAGGGCCTGGAGGTGTAAGAAGGCTACGCTAGAATGGAAGCTACAAGGCTGAACTCTAAGGCTTGGACGTGCCAGGCCTGCATCCTCTGCCTCATCCCTTTGCCTATTTTTGAGTCCTACCCACATGTGTCTTCTACCCAGTAGTGAAAAACATCAGTTCATCAAGCATGTTGTCAAGCATCCTTAGATCCCAGTGCTGGGTGTTGGGAGGCAGGGAGATAGATGAGTTACCGTGTGCCGGGTCTTGGCTCGCTGACTGTTCACAGAGAAGCCGGACAAACAACCAGGCTGGCAGTTATAGTGGAAAAGGCTTAGTAAACATGGGTTGCAATAGATACGGATGTGTTCCTCATTTGCGTCTGAGACCTGAAAATGTGGCAAAAGACACTTGGCTAGAAGTAGGGCAAGAAGGTGCTCAGGCAGGATGGGCCTGTGCCTAGCAGCTGGCACCTAGGAGCTTCTCTGAGGCCCAGGGATCCCCTCTGTAGTGTAGGGACAAAGCTGACATGGGGACCAAGGTGGTATAGGCAGCCCTAACAGAAAGGTCAGCGTGTGCTAAGTGCTTCACCGGCTCTACCGTTTAAGCATGTCTGTGTCTGTGGTCCTGGACCAGAGAGGCCAGGTTAAGACCTTCCAAACTACCCTAAAGACTACTAGGGATTCCACCTATGGCTTTCTCCTGGCTGACCTGCCGTGAGGTGCTGAGGCCTTGTCCCTCTGCTCAATTGCCAGCCCTGCCCCTTATTTTCTTCTCTCCTGCTATCACTCCCATCTCTTCATTCAGAATTCCAGTATATGCCATCCCGTCCTAACTACTGAATGGTCAGCTTAGGCTAGCCAAACCTGCTGCCTCGGATCTCTTTGAAGCTTGTTCCTAAAATGAGTCTCTCTGCTGTCAGCAGCAAGGGAGCATAAGAGAGCAGCTGCCCACTCCTCCCCAGCTTCCTGACCTATCAGGCTGTCATCTTCCATTCCTGCCTGAACCAGCCATCTTCCTGAGCATACTGCATTGGCAGGGCAGCTCCTCAGGCAGACTCAAACTCATAATAAACAGCAAGGCTCACCACTGCCAGCGGAATCAAGCTCTCTGAAAGATTTCTCTCAGACCCAACCTTGTGTTTGCCTTTTCACTCACTTTCTTGCCACTCAAACATCGCCCTTTAAGTAAAACTTTACACTTGGTCTCCCTCTGTCCCAACGGGCAAAATGAGGTTGCCTATCTGTGTCATTTTCCTTGATAAGTTATAACGCATTCAGAAATCAAAATCCCCTTCTTCAATTCTTGTCCTCTGCTAGAAATCATTAAGTTTCCCATGCTTGCCATGCACTTAAGAAAATCCTAAGAAAACAATCACAAACCCATGGTTATTTTATAATTTTATAAATAACATGCCCATCATTTGAGTGACATTTAATCCAATGGTTTGTTATTTATACTCAAACTGTCCAGCTGCCATTTACTATTTAAGCCCAGATCATTTTCATCATCCTACAGAAACTGTTAAGCCACTAGCAGCCACGCTTTTCTTCTTTGGCAAGGACTACCATGTTCAGTCTACGGCTCTCTCTGGTTGACATTTCCCACAGGCGGCCATGTGGCTAGAGGAATCCTCACTACAACTACAATCAGTGTGCGGGAAATTCTCCCTATTCACGGTCCTTGCTTCAGTACCTTTTATTCACGCTCTCGAGGAAACAGTTTCAGCACTGTCCAGAAACCTACCCCTCACTCTGCTGGGCCTGCAGGGACCTGTAGAGTGGGGTGAGCTAGCAGGAGGCCTGCAGACTTTGGCAGTGTGCAGGAAACAATAAAACCAACACTCAGCAAACATTTAAATACCCTTTGTTTTTAAATTTAACTTTAATTTTTGAGGTAAAATACTTTTTTTTTCTTTCGACTTCCATAACAAAATACAGAGCTATCAGATACCCCTGGAAAAAAATATGTATATTATACATATATTTCTATAACATTACATCATATATATAATATATATGCAAAAATTTGAAGACTTTAGAAAGCAGAACATCTAAAAGGCACTGCACAATGGTGTTCGGGTTCTTTATAACTTATGTACATATACACATCTTATTCTGCTTACACAGATGTCTAGTGAAGTCATCTTCACATGTGAATGTCTCATTCACAAATCCCTGCATCACAAGTTTATAATTCAAAGAATGCCTAAATATTCTGAAACAAATTAACATATAACTTTTTCCAAGAAGGAATTAATTGGAACAGTTCTTTGAAGACTGAAGTTTTCTCTAAAGCCACATAAAAAACATACATATCACTATTGTTTACACAAGAAAAAGCACAAACATAATTATGGAATAAATAAAAAACAAGGGACAAACAGCTAAAGGACTACCCACTTGGCAGTGGAATATAACTTTTTTTTCTTTTGTAATGCTTCTGGAAGTTCCTTGGGCTACGGGTCACTAGGGTTCCCTGTATTACTGAGCTGGGTTTAATGCAATGCAGCCTGACACCTAGGGGAGATGGACTCTATCTGTCTCTATTTTACTTCAGAACATAAGGCGAGCTCAGCAAGGCTGATGCCCCTGAGAATTTGCTACTTTTTCTACGGCTAAAAAAGCAAACTGTTTAAATGAACAAACTCTTGATTAGTGGAATTTCAATAGATTTACACCTACAAAGTTTTACACATTTGGCACAACAAAATTTAGAAAAAAAAAATCACAAAAAACGAGAGGAAGTAGGTCCAGCTTTTAGCCCCTTTCACCCTACTGTTGGACTATGAATGATGTGTTCACAGAAGGTAACCACCTTGTTTCATGCCAGGCTGGAGCAGGAACTGCCAGGAGGGAGCCTGGGAGAGAACACTATTCTCATTCCTTTGCCCCAGGAAGTATCAATGACTGCTATATTTCTTGGCCTACTTCTGAGCAAGCCCAAGTTCTGCTCTGTAGACAGACCTTTCCCCAGATCCAAACTCCAACTGTGTGCAGTACCAGTCAACCAACAAATTACTGGTGGAATGGCGATCAAAGGGAACAAACAGCATAGTTTTGTAACAGCTCAAAAGCATTTTTCAGGGAGTTCAACATTTCTGAATGTTTTTTTCAAGTGTAAAAGCCATGACTTTATTCAAATGGAAGCAGCATCCAGGGATTAATTCTGGCACTTGGGTTTTAGGGGGTTATGGGTATGCATCATGGATTTTCCTCTTCTCATTTTAAAGGCCCCATGTTTCTATTCCTGAGTTCACACCGACACTTGCTGGCCGGCCCCTCTAGCAGACACTGGTGGCCAAATGGCCTCCCTGGTTCAATGGGCAACGCCAAGCAGAGAGCCCTCCTCTAGCTGCTGGGCTTGCTTTAGATTCAGACAGAGGTAAGTCAGGGTAAGAGAAGGGAACTGGTCAGACACAGCTACCAAGGGCAGCAGGAGTGGTGAGTCCTTCATGGTCTGACCACAGCCTGGGTCACCAGAGACCACTCAGTCCCTTTTCTGGGGAAAGACAGTCCCTAAAGTATGGAATCTGAACCAAGTGACAGGACACTCATCAAGAAATAGCAATGATGGCCTCAAGTCACCCCAAGCCAGCTAGTGTCTCCTGACCTCCTTTCGTGCATGCCCTTCAGTTAAGAAAAACCAAACACCCCACCATCAGAAGACACAATCAAGTGTTACTTGGGGTACAGAGTTTTCAACTAGGCTATAGTGAGGGAATCAGGAATCACTGACGCCCAATGTCACCATGCCTCAACAGATATGGAACCATTTCTTCTCGCTGGCACATGTGTTTACAGAGGACATTGGCTGCTTTCTCTGCCCCTAGTGCTAGCATTTCATTTCATGTAAGATCAGTATCTTCCCATTCCTTAGAAATTGCTGAGGGGAATTTCCCGCAAAGAAGTGTCTCCTGTCTGTGAACTTGATTTTGTGAATAGTCAACTGATCATGATCACAAACAACCTGGGCAAATGGGGCTCACAAGGGTGACAACATCCCCACAGGGCAGACACCAGCTCTTTCCCTTTAAAAGGCATCGAGTAACTCGGTTAACAGGCATCTGGTCACCACCTCCCTACCTCTTCCTTCGTTCCAACACTTGTTCCCAGCTACTCTGTTTACAGGTTGGTCCATCTGTCTTTCATTCCCACAATCCCGCTCTTCACCACCCAGCCTGGTAACATCAGAGGGACGAACTATCAGCTAGGAATTCAACTATGCCTCAACATTCCTGGGTTATCTGAACAGTGGCCACGCCCTTTACAGGTTTATGCTGACAGACCCGTATCATCTTAAAGCATGCTCATAGTTAAGGCTTGACTTAAGAAACAGTAAGACAACCAGACACAGCAGAAAAACATCTTTAACGGTGCTATCCTGCTCCCCATAAAACTTGTTCAGTCAGTTGGTATGGTTTCCCAAACCAACAATGGAAAAAGAAAAACGAAGATCATTTCTGTCCTTTGCTTTGTTTTTAAAGGCATTTGGGTTATTTCCTCCTGCCCTCTTTCTTCCCTGATCAAGAGTTTACGACTTCTCATGGCTTTGTAACAGGTAAAGTAGGTGACAGGAGCTGGCAGCAGGGCTTCCTCCCTACCTTAGCTCTGAAGCTGAGGGGCCAGGTGGTCCTGTGCCCTCCCTGCCCATTATAACTGGCAGTACACTCAAGTGTCTTGAAACATTTTCTAAAAGGGGGGGGGGAAAGCTGAGAGAGAGATTAAATGTGTGCATGTGTGCATGAGAGAGAGAGAGAGAGAGAGAGAGAGAGAGAGAGAGAGAGAGAGAGAGAGAGAGAAAATGTTTGTGTGCTCCGGCAAGGGAAAGGGAGAGTAGAAAAATGTTCCATACTCCAGTAAGACTGCAATTACCTTTTTTCTCTCCTGAAATAACTATTTCAGGTTAACATGCTTAGTATTGTTGCTTACCACCCAACCTTCCCCTTTTTCATCTCTCTCTCAAAGCAAAATGCCTCAGTATTGACTTTCTACGTGTATGAATATAATAGAAAGCACTGTGGATCCTGAACTGTGTAACGGGACTAGGAAGTGGGCCCTTATGGAGCTTGTCAGGCAGCATTAGTCTTAAACAGGAAACAGGCTCCTTTCCCCACAGTTCAATACCCTCCCTACAGCCTACTCACCAAGAAAAAAAGTGTGTTCATACCCCACTTAATTTACAACACAAGATACTTGTCCCATCCCCAACAGAAAAGTACAAGTCCATGCCCAGTATTATCAAACCAGCTTAACCCCGCCTCCCACCCCAGAATCTTGCTACATAAATACGTGTATCTGATTGTAACGTGAACAGCTTCTCTTCCACTGTGGTTTTAAGCATCAGCAGCAGCAGTGGCTGCTGTAGCCAGGCCCTGGGGTCCTGCCCCATTCCAGAGGAACGTGCCGGTCTTACTTAGCTCCCGGGCTTCAGGGTCATCATTCCACCGCCTCTTCAAACGAAGCTTGGGGGGCATCAGGGCATCTTCTTTCTTCTCAGGTACACTGGGCTCCTTGCCAGACCTGTCCTCACTGTCTTCAGTTCCCTCTAGGGGTTCATCACTGGGGATACTAATGGATACAGAGGGCCAGGTGGGTGAGGGGTGAGCAAACACTGTGCCTTTCCCCTCTTCTATGGTCCTGGTCAGCTCAGTGCCTGCTTCTTGGGAGTGTTCCTCCTTTTCTTGGGTCGACTGCCTGAGGCTCTCGGGATCCTTCTCAGAGATAGGCTCTACCTTAATTCGAGAGGGAACAGATGCACTGGTTGGTACAGACCCATGTGTGGATTGCTCACTGTTCTCTGCCCTCTCTCGGTTCTTCCGTCCAGCTGGTGGGGGCTGCAGCTTGATAGAGAACTGGGAAGACTCCTCAGGATGCATTTGGCACTGCAACGGCGGGACCACGAGCCCTGGGTAGCGGGGAAAAGTCCGAGGACTCAGATGGTAGTTAAACACAGAACAGGCTTGAGAATGAAGGTAGTGTTTCATTTCCTCTGGGTTGAAGGAGAAGCAACTGCTGCTGGTGAAGGGGCTCAGGCCTGGAGAGGGACTATAGGAGAACATGGTGGGAGTCAGGGACAGGGCTGGTGAAATGGGAACATTTAGGACACCTCCGCGGCCAGGGACTGGAGAGATAGCAAAGGGACTATGAGGGTCAGGGTACATTGCCGGCCGAGTGAAGAGAGGAAGCATGACGTCAGGCTTGCATTTCTGGTGGCCTATCCCTCCTCCACTAAGAACATTTCGAGAGGGCATGAAATCCATGCCCCGGTGCCAGTCAGAGGTCGAGCTGTCTTCCAGGTCAGAAGGCTCCACCTTCCTATCAGCGGCACCACCTGGCTCAGGGCCAGAAGCACTCAGGGTGCTGGCAGAGAACCGCCCTGGCTGCATGTCACCAGTGGGAGACTGCGTGTCTAGAGGTGGGAAATGGAACCGGGAGGAGGCTGTCGGCACTGGGGGTGCACTCTGAGGGACCACACCTGTGACGGAAGAAAAGAAAAAGGTCTGCGTTGGCCACCTGGTCACTCATTATCACCACTTTTACTTACACTAGCTAAGTACACACTGTCAAGTGACAACAGGAAACAAACCTACCCAGTCTGAATCTTTTTCAAAACTATTGCTTAGGTTGGGTGTGGTGGCACAGGCTTGCAATCCCAGCACTCAGGAGGCTGAGGGAGGAGGCCTGAGCCTTTAAAGACAGCCTATATTGCTGAGCTTTCTCCATTCAGCCCAGCTTCCCTGTTCTTCTGGCCACTTAACTTACTGTCCAGGTGGTCCTTCTTACCTGCGACTCCATTCAAGATTTCAGTGAAAACTATAGCCCAACATTTCAGGCTTAAGAGTCAGTAAGTAGATGCTCACTAGACATTAGCTGGATGAGTGAATGGATACATGAACCTCTTCCTTGCAACTCTATTGTGTGTATATACCCTGTTTTAATTTTCAGCTTCACAAGAAAGTTTTTCTCACCGTCCCAATTTTGGCTGTATTTACAAAACAAGTAAACCCAACAACAACACTGCCAAACAAAACACATGCATATGGTTGCACTGAAAACCCAGACTCCACCACCATGAATGGACAGGGACAAGGTCCTCCTTTAGTGAAATAAACTGATTGGTGTGGAAAAGCAATTTTTATTAAGATAAGCTATTATGGTTTATCTTTATCATTTTGATAGACAACTATTATCTCAGAGATTTCTTTCAGTCTTCCTATATCTGTAGTCCAACAAATCCTATATAATGATACCTATTTCTGTTGTCTTCAAGTAGTGAGGAGGTTGGACCTACTATTTCCTCCCCCAAGGCTGACAGCTGGCAGGTGTGGTGCCTCATGTTCATAATGCCAGAACTGGGGAGGCCAAGGCAGGAAAATTACTGTGCCTTGAAGCCAGGTTAACTTAAAAAAAAAAAAAATAAAATCCAAGTTCAAACCTTAAGAAGAAACCACCATCGTGTCACATTAACTTAAGAAATTCATAAATTCTCACTTTCTCCTAAAAGCCCCAATAAGGCCTTAAAAAGCTGCTACGTGGAGTTTCAGGTACCCTATAGGTTCCTGGGAGGTATTGGTGGCTGTTAACATGATGGTGCCCAAAGAGTTCCTTATACATGAAGTAAAGATAAAAGGGAAAAGGGGGGGGGGGGTTAGAAATAAGGCAGTGGGCTAGTCAAAGTCTGGTGGTCCAGGAGAGAAAACAAGCCACAAAATATAGTGTCTGAACTGTTCCCAGTTCTGCATAACTCAGAAGTAGGCCATTGTGTGGGACACTATGGCTTTCTTGGTGCCTATGGTTGAGTGGCAACAGCATTTACCAACAAATGTTCAACAGAAAACAATTCTTCTATAGGCCTTGTTTTAAAGGTCCCTGAATTGAGATAATAAGAGTAATAAATAGGAAAATCAGACACATGACCTTGCATTTGATTTGAGTAGAGCCAAGATAGGTTCAGGGCAATGGATCTTTTTAGTTTATTACAGCAAATAAGAGTCTACTATTTTTAATTTTTTGACACTTGACTTATTAAGGATCTTATCTAAGGACTGTAAAATGGCTCTGTGGTTTGAGCACCTGCCGCTCTTGCAGAAGGACCTGAGTTTGGTTCCCATCACCAACAGGACAGCTCACAACCATCTGTAACTTCAGTTCCAAGAGATCCAAATCCCTCCTGGTTTCCACAGGTACTAGACCCACATGGTGCACATACTACATACAAACAGGCAAAACATATATACACACATAAAAGTATTTAAAAGTTATCACATTTCCTACGCAAGTCAGAAATGCTTGCTTAAGTCAAGTCAGTTCTGCTTCTATTTTTAATAGAGTTTACTTTGGTCTTTGTACACTAAGGCACACTATGTACCTGTAAGGAGTTATTTCCACATGCATTTACATGGGACAAAGTATGGAGGAAGGTGGCTGCTGATTCCCCCACCTTTATGTGTTATAAGTTGAGGTGTCAAATCAAAGGTTCAGTTTGAAAAACAAGCAAGCAAACAAAAAACCCTGCTGCTAAAAATGTGTCAATATGATTACTTGAAAGAAGAGCACTTCCCAGCAGTCACAAGTAACAGTCAGAAAACAGTTCTCATACCTTCTACCTTGTAACTGGTGTAAGCACACTGGAGCTCTTGCTCCCTTTGAAAACAATGCAAATAATAAGTTCTTTGCCTAGGTTCAAACTCTAATCCTACCCGTGTGTCTCTAAAAATTACTTTCTGACCCAGTTTTTATAAGTAGGAAGTAATAAGACCAATCCTAATGTTAGAGAAATATTTTGGAACAATACCTGTGCACAGCAAGTCACATGTTATTACAATAAATTGTGTGTGTTCATCTCACTATATAGTCCTGGCTGGCCTAGAACTTGCTAAGGAATGCCAGCTGGCTTCAAACTATCAGAGATCCACCTGCCCTTGCCTTCCAAGGGCTTGGTTTATCATCATGAGCTACTATGCCTTGCAATTTTAACGGTTAAAAAAAAAAAAATCACAATTAAAAATTTAAAAAACTTAAATACTGTTTACATATGGGTCACATTATATTATTAGAGTAACACTAAATTTCCTGGGTGTGACGTCATTTCCGTTATAGAAAAAAAAATCCTTATTCTTGGGAGGAAAGCCATGGTACCTTCATGTTAACCTCTAAATGCAAAAAGTATCTGTAAACAGAGATAAAGTACATGTGGCAAAGACATTAACTACAGTGAACAGTGAATCAGGAGGAGGGTATGTGAGTGTTCTCTTCAGAATTCAATGCAATTTTTCAAAAGACATATTAAAAACTAGGGTGGTGGCAGGGAGAGACAGGTTTAGCCAGCCCTGTCTCCACCTACCGAGGAGAGTTAACCTTCTTCTTCTTCTTCTTCTTCTTCTTCTTTTTTTGGTTTTTCAAGAACGGGCTTCTCTCTGTAGCTTTGAAGACCAGGCTGGTCTCAACTCAGAGAGATCCCCCTGCCTCTGCCTCCTGAGTGCTGGGACTAAAGGCGTGTACCACCATTTTTAACCAGTAATTATCTTTCTAATGTTTCGTTAGGCAGGCGAGTATGTGCACGCATGCGCACACACACTTATACGTATAAAAATAAAAAGTATAAAGCATAAAGTGCTTGGATTATCAATGAGTCACTATGCCTGGCCTACCAAATTTTTTAATTTTTACTTTGTATGAATTGGTGTTTTGCTATGGGTCCCCTGGAACTAGGATTACAGTTATGAGCTGCTATGTGGATGCCGGGAATTGAATCCAGGTCTTTTGGAAGAGTAGGGCTCTTAACTGCCAAATCTCTAGAGCTGCCTGGCTTAATTTTTAATGGTTTAAAAAAAAAAAAAATCAAACTTAAAAAATTTTAAATTAAAAAAATTTACATGTAGGCTATATTATATATGCTGCATACACATATATAATATGTATTACATATATTAATATGAAGATAGTGCATACAGATGTACTTTTTTGGGACAGAAACTTAATATGTAGCTAATATCAAACTACCTCAGCCTTCTACATGCTAGGATTATAGGTGTGCAGAAGTATATCAACACTACTCTTAATACTGAATACTCTACCCTAAAGTGTCTTTTGGGGTTTTAGAGACATGGTCTCAGAGTAGCCCAGGTTATCCTAGAAGTCAACATATAGCCCAGGGTGACCTTGAACTCCAGACTCCTTGACCTTCCACATGCTAGGATTACAGGCTTGCTCTACCATGCCAAATTCCATCTTAAACTATTAACAGTGACTAGAGCAAACTTGGAGGGAAGGACACTCAACTCTTCTATTTTTTGTATTTGGCCATACATTTCTACTTCATAACAGTATGACCAGAATAGCTGCATACACTGACCTATATACAGTGAGAATCTCGGGCCTCCAGGGTGAGACTTATATATGCTACATACATATACGATATGTATATGTATTATATATAAAAACTATAAAGAAACTCCATATAGGTGTACTCTTTTGAGATAAAAACTTAGCATGTAGCCAATGTCACTTGCTACATTCTAAAGCACTTATTACATCCCACCATAAAACCTAGAATCTTTTTTTAAAAAAAACTTTTATTCTTTTCTCAAAATTGCATCTCAACCTGTTTTCCCTCCCTCCACTCCTACCAGTTCCTCCTCCCCACCTCCCCTCTCCCCCAGATCAACTCCTTGTCTATTTCCCAAAAAAGAGAGCAGGCCTCCCAGGGACATCCACCTAACAAGATACAGTTAAGAATGTGCATAAACCCTCATTATCATGGCTGGACATGGCAAGCCAGTAGGAGGCAAGGGGTCCCAAGTACACACAATAGAGTCAGAGACAGCCCCACTCCCATTGTTGGAGTCCCACAATAACACCAACTACGCAGTGTATGCAGAGGACATAGTGCAGACCCATACAGGGTCCATGTTCGTGCTTCAGTTCTGTGAGCCCTGTGGGCCACATTCTCAGTGTCCTCGACTCCTCTGGCCCCTACAATCCCTCCTCCCCGTCTTCTGTGGGGATCCCCTGGCTCTGCCTAGTGACAAACCTAAAATCTTACCTCTCAGCTAACTCTTTAAGTTCCTTGAGGAAAAGAACTTCCCCATAATCCTTTGTTTTTCTTTAGGGATTAACACATATGTTAACACATGGATGAATCCTAACCAAGAGGAAATCTGCATTCTGTATTTGACTCTGCTGTGTTCATATTTAATTGTCATTTGTAAAATAGGAGTATCAAGACATATTTTTTTTTTCTAGGTTAGAAGCATAGATAATTCACTAAACCAAACAGAAGCACCTTCACTAAGTGGATGTTCAATAGTGTTATTTTCCTTTGTCAACATTATGTTAATCTTAAACACTTGGTCTATGTGTGTGTGAAAGTTCTCTGTAAACAAATGGCTCTGGTTCTTCTGGGTTATCTATACCAAGGAGTCAACAAGCTAAAATGATGGCTCACTGTTTTGCTTTTCCTGGGACAATGATGACTGTTGTAATTTTGTACTGAGAGTTGAACCCGGGGCCTTATACTCAGTGTTCTTCTGAGCTAACCCTAGGACTTTTGATTAGCATCTTGGACCTATTAAAGATCACTAACTATTGGTAGGTTTGCAGACAGCTTCTACAGAGCCAAAGTCCAGTGATCCCTTGCCTTGGAAAACCAGGTTACTCCCAGGGTTTGATGGACATTCTATTCAAATTGTTTAAATGGTTAAACTTCTGGGCTTTCAGTCGATGAAAATGGATCAAAGAACAAGACCAATATTTTTGGAGATGGAGTGCAAGGGTATGAAGCCCAACACATTTCTTCAAAACTGATGGCATGTCCATCTGGAATCCTAGTTTCTACAGGTACATAGGGAAGAAGCAAGAGAAAGGAACAGGAAACAAGATTCCAGGGGCTAGAACAGCTTTGATTTCCTAATGCAGCTCCCTTAGGCACAGGGAAAAAAACAGGTTGTAATTAAAGGTGCATTCCAACCCCCACCCCCAAATGCATGCCCCAGGGACAGGAGGGAGCGGTTACTGGAGAGGTGGGACTGCAATGATAGCAGTCAAGCTAAAACTGCCCTAACTTGTTATGTGTAGTAATTACATATCTACAGATCATCTAGTATTATATTCTCTTAGCCACACCCTCCTCTAATTTTTCAAGTTTCTGCCAACCTCTGAGTACTTTTATTCAAAATCAGGACTTCCTTTCTTTGCATACAATGTCACAAAGAACAATGATAAAACTGACCAAAACTGGTACTGACACCTGCAATCCAGCACCTGGATGATGAGGCAGGAAGACTGCCCTAGGCAAGGTTGACAAAAGAGTAAAGTTCAAGGCCAGCCTGATAACATGGTGAAACCTACCTCAAATAAAAAACAAAACAAAAAAACCAAAAAACCAACCAAACAAAAAAACCTGACTCTTGAGCAGGGTGATAATTTATTGTCTTTTAACGACTCCCAAACAAACAAAAACCCCAAAGTAAAAAGAAAACTAACCTAACTCTGACTCAAAAGAGTACATCCACCACTTTTGTAAGTGGATGTGTCTTTGTCTTCATCAAGGGGCAGATCAAAAGGCTGTGTGCTCTGATGAATACTCTGAAACAGCAGAGGGGAAGCCTGCTTGCACTTAAAAGGAGAGGAGGCTAAGTTAAGTCCAAAATCTTGCACTGAGAACAGTGCTGAATGCTGGTGCAGATCTGAGACTTAGCCTTTCACTGCAAACAAGATCAAGGGTGCTGTGGTTTTGATGACATTCACTTGATAAGAGAGAACTTGTAGTTTCATAGAAAATCGGAAATGTTTGTAGAAACAGGTTCACAGCTATGAAACAGCCATTGGGTGCGGTGTTAAAAACGAAATCTTGAATTTAAAATTCAACATAAACCTATGGACTCATTCCTCAAAAGGACTTCAGTAATATCCAGAAGGCTGAAAATAATGCGTATAAAAGTAGCCAAATAAACTAAACAAGCCTATTAGAATAATGCATAGAATAATGAGTAAGAAGGACCTGAGGTAATCTAAGGGTTCCCATTACATCAATGTTTCTGAAATCTCCTTATACAAGTCATGTCTCAGATTTGGGATTTTCAAAATTCTTTTTAAATTCAAAATCCACTCTCCATCATAGGTATCTTACCACTTGATCGAATGTTGATGAAAGGGTAGTTGGGCATCACCAGCTTGTTGAAGTTAAACTTGTAAGTAAACCTTTTCCCTTTTGTTTTGTGAAGGATCCTCTTGTTGTAATAGTATCTACGAAAAGAAGAACACATGGTACAGCATTAATTACTAAGATCAATTCTGGCTCTAAGCACTTCTTACAAAAACCTTCACCATTCCTTTGTAGTCTGGCCCTGGAGTTAGGGCTTGGTGACCCAAGAATTCACGTTTCTCATCCAGTTTAAGCTCAGCTGTAGTCTTTGATTGGAGCTTGACATAGACACACTTGTTTTACAATCCCAAACACCTTCCTCAGTTCTAACCACTCACCTTCTCATTTCTCTATAGTTTCAATCTATGGTCCACTTCCTTCCTGCTCCACTCAAATACTGTCTAGTTTCTTTCCGTCTTGCCCAGGTTGGGTCAGACAAGTCTTCTGGGAGAGCTCATGGGGTCTAGGAGCCTAAGTGCAAAGACTAAACAGAGGAATGGAAACCTGTTTTATGGTAGGAATGAGACAATGGCATGATCGGGAACCAGCAGCCACCCTGGCCAGCTTCACCTTTAATGTGGCTTAAATAGGATGTGGAAGGCTCCAGCTAAACACTGCAGAGACTTTACACTCAGGCTACTGAGAATGAAGAATGACAGAGAACTTCCGTCTATCTGGAAGCTTTGGTCTGGCTTCTATTAAGCAGCATAAGTTATAAACTACCTGCTGACCCCGAAGAACTAAAGAGTTACAAAATGTAAAAGCTGACAGAGAAGAGCGAATGAGAGAACTTACAGTGATCATTCTCTGGACATGTCATAGCAACCTATGACTGATTGGAGACTGCAGGTATGGTGTGTGAGCACCTGGGTTCAGAGGCTCTCAGCAAGCCTCCCTTCCCAATGGGGAAGTCTCCGCTAATCCTCTGGATTGTAAGTGAGCCCCAGTCCATGTTTTACCACGTGCTCTTACCCACTACAAAGCAGAATCAGCTGTCAGGAGCCAATGCCAGCCACTCTGGAATCCCCTCCTACACCTTCTCACCTCCTGTGCCACTCAGATTCAACACCTCTTTGACTAACACTTTTAAGAAGCGCAGTCGTTTCGTCACCTGGTTACCTTTTTAGGTAGCATCCTCAAATTGCACACTTTGCTTCCAACTTTGTTAATACCACACATTTGGGGATCCTTCCCCTCCCTCACCTGAGGGCCCGGCTCAGCTTGTCATAGTTCATCTGTGGTTTGCACTTCCTGCGGCCCCAGAGGCGAGCCACTTCATCTGGATCCTTGATGACAAACTCCCCGTACTCTCCCTGCTGCCAGGCAATGACATGGCGGAACTCTTCCTTCTGCAGCAGTTCCAGGATGAAGTGCCACAGCTGGATCTGCCGGGAGCCTGGTGACGACTCGGTTTTGTAGGCCCAGTCGGGGAACTGATAGCCTTAAATGTAAGAAGGGCCAGATCAAAGCAGTTAGGAGTTAGGTACAAACATGCCAGTGCGCCCACCTCTACCTTCCATGGCTCACAATCTCTAGAGTACTTTGTAAACACACCCTTCCAGTCAGCTAACCATGAAGAGGAGAGGACAAATTATCCATCCTTGTGGCAGTCAGTGACTCTAAACTAATATTTTACGAACATATGGCAGAAAACACCTTATCCCCAAGGGTGGAGTTATTTCTCTTAACAGAAAGAGATATTAAAACTTGCAATAAAGATGTGTGGGCCAGACAAATTAAATATCTATTCACAGGAAACATGCCTACAACCATTCTACCAATATCTACACAGTCATGAGGCTGTCAATCATGGTCTAGCATTTGTCCACTAAGCTCAAGAGGGAACAGGATCACTAAGGGACAGGAACCACTAAGGCACATTCCAGATCCATCAGAGATGATTAACTTCTGCTCACCTCCACCTCCTTCTGGCTTTTCCACGATGCTACAGCCTGCTTTCATTTTCACCCTCCTGCTGAGAGAAACAATCCTACAATTATTTTGAGATACTACGAATTATCTATGTAAGTTTTTCTGGTACAGCTTTTCCCCAAACATTCTTCTTTTTTTGTTGTTTTTACTTTTTTTTTTTTCCCAAAGCCTTTTGTCTTTCAAACATGCCACCTCTAAACTACTAATCCTCAAGTCATCAAATGATGGTCCTCAGGTCATCAGCTTCAAAAGCCATAATTATCTCTCACCTGACTTTAGCCACATGTGTAAACACTGTCCTTAATATTTGCTTTCTTCCTTCTGACCAGCCCTCCAACATAAAAAAGGAAAGCGAACAGCGAAACAAGTCCAAAAAGGCAGCAAAAACAAGCCAAAGAGTTTGCTTCCCATTCCTAAGCAAGCCCATATGCTAAGGCACACAAGCCTGAGTTCACCCAGATAGATAAAGACTTAAAAAAAAAATCCAAACCCCTTACTCAAGAAGGAACTTCTAATTCTGAGTATTTACCGACTTATGTGAGATGGAAAGCATCATCTTCCAGTAACATACTGCGCTCACCCTCAAAAAACATCCTGAGATAAGGAAAGTAGTAAGTATGTCGTGTGTACAGCCACTCTATACAAGAAACAACACTTTCCTAAAATTTCATAGAAAAAAATGTAACGGCATATATTTAAATAAAATGTATGGGAAATAAAAAGGATAAGGTAGGTACTTGGAATTGCCTAGCCAGTGGTGGAAGGCATCTTGCTAGGACCTGAATTCATTCCGTGCAGATTTATAGTTCCTCAATAAATTTCCTGTTCCTAGCAGCAGGCAGCTTTGTGTCAATCCTTCAGCAAAGAGGAGGGACGGGTGAAACTGGCAGAGAATGACAGAGGAAAAGAGAAAAGACTTACTCTTATCACTCCACAAGGGTGGACGACAGGCCCTCAGCACCGACAAGAGCAGGTCTGGAGCAAACGCAGGTGCTTCAGAGGCCCCAGGGTGGGGTGGGACAAATTCCTAACCTTGGAAATTTCATCTAACCTAGAATTCCTCTAGATGCTCTGCATTTTCTTTCCCGACATACACATTAAGGAGAACAGTAAGTTTCAGTCCGTAAGAACACTAGGGTCCGAGGGGCTGATAAATGGCTCTAGGAAGGAGGCAACCGACAAGACACTGGCACACACAGGATATACACAGTAACAAGGCACCAGGGCTGGGCAGAAGCTTCCTCTGCCGTTTCCGTGATGATGTGGGAGAAGAAAACACCGATTTCCACAAGGCTCCGGGAAGCTGTCCTGGACTAACTCCTAGACTGCGCTGTCGGATCGCAGGGCCTTTCCCCAGCTCGGGAACACCCTTCAGCCTGGCTGCTGTGGGCTCGCGCCGGGCGACGCCCGAGCCGGATGCCCTCTCGATCCTCCGGCCCCCGACATGCCCATCAAGCCCCTCGGAGCCCGCAGGCGCGTCTGCAGGTGTTCGTGACTCCCGAGGGCGCTCGGTCACCCACCCGGCCCGCGGCGGGTCTCGCCGCTCCCGCCCGTCCGCAGCGGCTCCTACGGCCGCCCGCACCCGTGTCCCGTCCGTCCTGCCCGCGAGGGCCGCGACCGCCGACGCCGGCCTCACCTCTCCGGCGCCGTCCGTCTCTACTCGGGCTCCTCCGCGGCAGCTCGGGCTCCTCCTCATCCACCCAGCAGGAAGTGACTCCGCGGCTGCTTTCGTCACTTCCACTCCAGGCCGGTGGGAGGGGGCGGTGTCCCAAGCCGACGCCGCTTCCGCCCGTAAGGTGCCGGTGCCCCTCCGTGGCTCAGAGGTCCTGGCCCGGAGCCTCTCGTGGAAGGTGTGCGTGTGTGTGTGGTGTGTGTGGTGTGTGTGTGTGTGTGTGTGTGTGTGTGTCGGGAGCCTCGCGTGGAAGGTGTGTGTGTGTGTGCGCGTGTGTGTCGGGAGCCTCGCGTGGAAGGTGTGTGTGTGTGTGCGCGCGCGTGTGTGTGTGTGTGGTGTATGTGTGTGTCGGGGGGCGCTGCCACACTGACGGGAGCTCAGGAGCTTCTGAAGCACGTGCGGCACCGTCCTTTCCTCCCTGCGAAGCCCAGGGGACAGTACCCTTTCCTTGCCCGTCTCCATTTTAGTTCTGATCTACCTCGTCCAAGTATTGTAAAGTGCACGTCTTTGCCGTTCAGACAGACACCGCACCGCCACCCCCCCCCCCCGCCCCCGCTTTGCCTTTTGTTCCTGATTAGGCAATTACAAATTTGTCCGAAACAAACTTTGTTCAAGAGTTAGTGATAAGGGATCTGAATTCAGTTTCCGTAATTCCAAATGGTTCACAGCCCTAGTTTCTCCCCAGAGGCAGGGTTGGGATCAGTTAGGTGTGTGAGAGTCAAAGGTGTTGAAAAGTGGGGGAGGCGAAGGTGACAGGCGCGGTGGAACACCCGTCTTCATCAAATGCATAGCAACGACATACAGATTTTCCCTCCTGTGAACGACATTCAACATGGAAATATTACCATTAGCTGCCAAAAGGGTTGGCTTCTAGTTTTGGACATGCCTATGAGCACCTCCCCAGGATGGCCAATGACTTTGTAATTATCCTGTGCTACGCCGGGATTATAGAAATGTACCACCACATCTGGCTTTTTGTTTGGAGACAGGGCTGCTAGTACTACATAACCTCTGGTTGCCTTGGAACATACTATACAGTCCAGGCTGGCCTCTGCCTCCCAATTGCTGGGATTAAGGTTGTGTGACACTACACGAGACTAACCACTAGTTGTTCTTGAGTCACTGATACGTTCACTACTAAATATGGCCTAAAGTTGCCTTATTAGTTTAAAAAAGAAGGAATAATAGTGTTGGTGAGGTCAAGCTATCCCCATCCCTTCTATCTTACTATGAAAGCAAATACAATGAACAAGATTTAAATGTCATTAAGAGGATTGCCAATATGAGCACTTTGAGTGTAGAAATGCTTTATAATGGTCTCCATCTTCTGTACAGTCTATGTTAGGTTGAACAACTTCTATCTGGAAAAAAATTACATTGTGATTCATAACAGCAAAATTACAGTTATAAAGTAGCAAAGAAAATAATTTAATGGTTGGGGGTCACCACAGTGTATTAAAGAGGTCGCAGCATTAGAAAAGTTGGGAGCCACTGAGGACTGAACATCATATTTCAGTCCTCTTGCCTTCAACTGTTGGCTTTGTTACCTTGATTAAGTACTCACTGTCAGTTCCTCATCTGTTTGGACATGGTATTTGTGTATTCTTGTGGACACCTATAGATGTTTAGCAATATCTTATTGTATAGGGGATATTATAGGCATTTCATGGTTACATTTGATGTTGTAACACAATGTAGATGACTTAGGACAGAGAATGATATGGTGTAAACACACTATATGGATTGATGGTGACAAAATGATATTAAGACTGGTAAGAATCTTCAAATCTTCATATCATTCATTGCCAATCTTAGAAACCAGGGTGATCAGAATGAGTGGTTTCTTCAGAAACTCTGAGATTGCCAACCTTTAGCTCATGGTTTAGATGGACATGGTTAGAGCCAGCACTAATAAAGAACCAGTAGCCAAAGTGTGGGAACTCTTTATGTAGACATTTTTACTCACTTCTCTAGACTAATGATTTTCTGTGTCCATTTCTCTAACTAACTGGGGGTCACAGAGGATGAGTTAATACAATTTACAGAGAAGAACAGGTCTTAGTACTTGGCTTAAGTCTGAATTGATATCTTGAGAAGTGTTTATGTCATGGCAGATCTGAACAGAGTTCTCATTCTGACAATCTAGTTAGTCATCTGCCTGAAGTTCAACAGGTGAAGTTAGCCTTGATAAAGCAAACTGGACAGTGTAAGGGTCTGGGTAAGCCATTTGTGCACTGGGAAACTTAACTATGATGATGGAACCTAGGAGGGGTGGGGTGAGGAAGATTGGGGCTGCTAGGGGCTTCCTGCCCAGTTACCTCTCTGCCATAGTCACCATTACATGGCTGCCTTCAGCATCTGTTGCAAACAGGCTTTTACAAGTTGAAGATTCTTTGTGCTCTTGAAATGAGGAGAGCTTGTGCCTTCTACAAGTACGGGCGTGGAAACTCTTAGATATAGCCTAGTAGTCAAGCTATCTTGTAATCACTCTCTTGAATTTCCAGTTGCTCAAAGCAACTTTGACACTGCCTTCCTCCCCCTCCCCACCCATATCTGTAATTGTCCCACATCTAGGATAGGGTTCAGTTCTAAGCCATGTACTCTCAAAATTCCATTCCTACCAAGATACAGCTACTCTCTGATTCCTAAATTTGAAAGAAAAAAAAAAAAGAGTTGGGTATAGTGGCACATGCCTGTCATTCCAGCATCGGGGAGGTAGAGGAGGAGCAGGAGTTTAAGGTCAGCATCCACACAGGTTGTTTGAGGACAGTCTGGGTTACATGAGACCTTGTCTCAGAAACAACAACAACAAAATTGATATGAAACAAAGAGGAAATTCTCCTAAATATATTTTTCTTCTAATACCTCTTCTGGATTGGTCTCCCTTCCATACTTCCCGCTTCATTACTTAATTGTTCCCATTTTCATGTATGCACTTATAGGTTTCCACACCCTAAACCTACCTGGACATGTGTATGATAAAATTCTTTGCCTGTCTACTCTTGCAATAGGTGACTGTTTATATTGCATTGACTTGTGTAATGGACATATCTATTCTTCCTAGAGTGTTTGTCCTATGTTACAGGTCCCCACAGAAGCTCTGTTCCTTTATTAGAAGTGCCCAGCGATGCCCATTCTTCTCTGTTGTTATAGTCGGAGGTGCTGGTAAGGGTGGCTTTACTCCTTTCTTGGTCACCTCTAAAAGGCAGGAAGCCTCTCCTCCGAAATGTATCCTCACTGAACTTGGATTTCAAGGACTCGGGTTTTAGTCTCTGTTCTGTGTTTGCTAACTGTTCTCTGACTAGACATTATTAGCTTACCTTAGTTTCCACCTCCTCCTAGTAGGAGGGGACACTGTTGATGTTCTTGGTGGGGCCAGAGGGACAGCACTTCTAAACTCAGCATCATGATTACTTCTGCTGCCATCCCCTGTGCCACTCTATTTTTGGAATGAAGAGCTCAATCTTGACAGCAGTTACCGTGTAATTTACAAATTTTGAGTAGATTCAGTGTTTTAAACCTGTCTCAAAAATCTAATAATTAAAATGTGTTCCCAGAATTTGGGCTCTTGGGTTTCTTCCTTAAGCACTATTTCCTGAGGCCTAGCCTCAAGTGATACATGTTAATTAGTCTCTGTTTCAGTTTCTCCATGAAGTGATCATGCTAAGATTTCCTGTGGTTGGGGAACTGGGACGAACTCAGTTGGTAGAGTGCTTGCCTAATATATAGTACACAAAGAACTCCAGGTTGGATTCCCAGTACCAGATAAGCTAGTGTGCCAGCTCACATTTATAATTCAGCACTTGGGAAGTAGAAGTAGGAGATCAAGAGTTCAAGATTTTCTTCCTCTACATGCTGAGTTTGAGACCAGCCCAGAGTACCCGAGATCCTGAGCAAATAAATAAACTCCAGGAAGAAAAGAAAGACTAAAACATTATTGCCATTGATGAAATCAAAGACAGAAGAGCTGAGGTGAAGTTGGTGTGTTTATGCCTGTAATACCTTGGTTTACTCCTCAGTAAAGTGAAGATAAATTATAAAATAAGCTTGGACTAGGTATTATTTGCATTTTAGCATATTGGACTAGAGTAGCTTGTAAAGACTTCTGTTTGGTTTGTTTTTCCCATCAACCTAAGGTCATTTTAAGGATAGAGGAATTAACGTCGGTAACATGATTGGGGATCCCCAGATAAAAGGTTAAGTGGGCCCAAAGCAGAAGTAACTTTGCTCCAAGTTACAGCTAAGCCAGAAGGACCAGAGAGCTTGGTTATTTACTTGCAATGACTTGGGGACCCAAGGACTCTCCGGGATTCTACATCCATCATAGTCCACAAATGCCCCTGCCTCTCATTTCCCCTTTTTATGTCTTAGTTCCCGTTCAGGTCAGCACAGTGGAGAGGGTAGTGAGAGACCATGAAGAGCAGAACGGGAGAACAGGATCTACAGGAGGAAATGACCACTCAGGCTACTTTGACTTTGTTTTATTCCTGGCAGCTCAGGAAAAAGATTCCCCTGCCCAGACGTTTGACTGTCAGTCTGTATATTTCTTTCTTTCTTTTTTCTCCATTTTTTTTTTTTTCGAGACAGGGTTTCTCTATATTGCTTTGGAGCCTGTCCTGGAACTAGCTCTGTAAACAGGCTGGCCTCGAACTCACAGAGATCTGCCTGCCTCTGCCTCCCCAGTGCTGGGAGTAATGGTGTGCGCCACCAGTGCCCAGCCAGTCTGTATATTTCTAAGGCTAGCTTCTTCAAGGAAGTCCATGGAAGTTAATGGGAGCAGAAGGCTAGCTTCTGGTTGGAACCCATTTAGATTGTGTTCTCTAAGACTTAGC